ACAGGCAAGGAGCAGATCCCGCTTGGTCGGTGGTACGGGGTGGGGGGCGGCTCCTGAGGCGGACATCTTAGTTAAAACAACTTACTAAGATGTGGAGAGGACCATATGTCAATTTGCTCACGTAGGTGTGCTCTGGGGCTCGCAGCGCCCATCTGTGCGCCATCTCCCGCACTCTCCACGGTAACCCCCGGGCAAAGAGGCAGCCTCAGGCTGCTAGGCACTTACGGTGTTCCGCAGTCCCCCAGCCGCCCCGCACGTGGAGCACCGCATTCCTCCCTCTCCCCAAAGGAGAAACAAAGTTCAAGGAGGTGAATTAAGCAGTTTGCTCAGGGTCTGGGAGCTCGTGGGTGATGGAGCAGGTGCAAACCCACTAGGGTTGACTCCAAGCCTTGATCTGTCCACCGCAGGGTGGGTGTTGTTATCACTGAATGACAGATGAGACCGCTTGCCCCGAGCCCCAGGACTAATAACAACTGGGACCCAACCTCCATCCTCAGTCCTTGCCCACGGCCCACGTGGCCTTTCCCTCAGCTAGCAAGAGTCCAGACAAACACAGAACACACAGATCAAGGTGGAAAATGAACCAAAGAGCAGCAGCAAGAGGAGGTTCGGTTTTTTATAGTTCTTTCAACATTGATGTTGACCCTAAGGGTTTGTACTAACATAACAGCAGAGCATAAAATCTGGGGATGAGCCTTTTGGCTCTTCTACTGAGATTATAGCTTTGGGAGGGAGATGGATGAAGAGGGATGAAGGGGCTTCCCCTGGCATTACCTCCCGTGGAGGCCAGAGTAGCCCCGAAGTCTCCAATCGCTTTCGGGTGAGTAGGTTATGTAGCCATGTTGTGTTGCACATTATTTGATATAGGAGGGCGGGTGTGTTTGCTCAAAACTGTAAGCAGGAAGGCATAGTGGGAGGCTGATGCCGGATCAAGGGTCAGGGAGCAGGTACCAAATTCCAAGCCACGGTGGTTAGAGCGATAGCCTGTCCCTCTCCTGGTTTGTCTCAGAGAGACAACCTGTGGGAGGGCTTCTGCAGCCTCCCATTTTCCTGCAGCTCCTGAGGTGAGAGGGAGAGTGTGACCTGGGCAGGGGGGTTGGTGGGCATTGTTGATTGTCCAGACAGCTGGGGCTATCTGGTAGGGGCCTCCCCCTGTCGCTGGGGTTACCTCACAAGATTCCTGCCACCGCCTCCATGAGAGTCAGGGAAGGCCACAGGGAAGGAAGGACATGAGTTCTCTTCAGGATGGCTGCCCAGTCCTGGGTGGCTGGCTTAGGGAGTCCGGGGTACAGGCAAGTGAGGACAGTCAACAGGGCTAGCCCCCAAAGCCCACAGCACGGGCCTGGCTGACATGGGGAAAGCTCATTCCAAAGACGGGAGTGTGGAGGCTGACCCCGAGGCCAGGGGAAGCCGCACCCTTTCCTTCCAGGTGAGGGACCTGGCCCTGGGGGGGGCGGGGGGGACCCTGCTCACTGTTCCCACCTACGGATCCATCTCAGCTTTCTCTCCCCCTTAACCCCTTTCCTCCTGGGTGGCAACAGCAGCTCTGTGTCCCCTGGAGAAGTTGCAGGGCTATGGCCATAGGATTCCATACATTTAGGAGGCTTTACAGCCCCGGGGGTGGGGCAGGACCTGAGCTGGAAGCCCAGAGTACAAACAGTCATCACCGGTGAGGGTGAGGGTGAAGCAGGGGACGGGCAGGGGCATGATGGATTTGGCTCTCACTCCCGCCCAGACACGAAAGAAGCAAAGCTCCAGGCAAATGCAGGGCACTCACTTGGCCTGGCTTTAAAGAAGGGTGAGGGGGAAGGAAGTGGGATCAGCACAGGCAAGATTGCTCTTCCTTTAAGAAGACGCTGAGGCCCTTCAGGCATTGCTGCTGGCTCACACCTCCGATGACACTCTTAGAAAATGACATGGCAATGTTAACACGCTTTGGCCTAAAAATTTCCTTTGTCGGACTCAAACCCAAGGAAATACCGTTAAAGCTTTATGAACAAAGTGTTTTTTTTTTTTTTTTAAGATTATCTATTTATTTATTTATTTGACAGAGACACAGCGAGAGAGGGAACATAAGTGAGGGAGAGGGAGAAGCAGGCTTCCCGCCAAGCAGGGAGCCCCATGCAGGGCTCAATCCCAGGACCCGGGATCATGACCTGAGCCAAAGGCAGACGCCTAACGACTGAGCCACCCAGCACCCTCAAAGTGTTATTTTTATAGTGAAAAAACTGGAAACTACCTATATGTCTCCACAAATAAATGACTAAGTATGCTTATGCAGATGTTTTAAATGCTTATAATATGATAACCCAAAGAGTAAAAATATACAAGGCATTAGGAAAAAATAGGCATAGAAGAAAAAAATCTAGAAGGAGTTCTGCAGGCTAGAAGTCTGAAATCAAGGTGTTGGCAGGGCCATCCTTCCTCTGAAGCCTATGGGGAGAGTCCTCCCTTGCCTCTTTTGCTTTGGTATTTACAGGCTGTAAAAGAAAAACCCAGATTTTTCCTTTCCCTATAGGGAAAAACTTTGTTCCTCCCTATTGTTGTTTCTTTATCCTGTGAGTCTCCTTTACTTTTACCGAATGGGTGGAGGTTTTTCCCCACACCAAGCAATTCTCTGTGGCACCAGCGGCATGTCTTTAACTCAGTTCTGACACTATCTACCTGGAGATGGCGTCACATCCCACAGGTCAAGGGATCAGTCCCCCAGGACTGCCCCCCACCACCCCCACCCCACTGTACCCATACTTCAGACACTAGTCACAAGCCTGGGTTATCACTTGTGCTTCTGACAAATGGACTAATTGTTTGGATAACTGTTTGGATGTTCCAATGACCATTTCAATTAGTTTGCAGCAGTGGCTCACAGAACTCAGGGAAACACTTACATTTGCCAGTTTACTAAAGGCTTCGATAAATGATACAGATGAACAGGCAGTTGGAAAAGCTGGATAGGGCAAGGTATGCGGGAAGGAGCATGGAGCTTCTGTGTGCTCTCCGGGCATGCCAGTCTCAGCACCTCCATGTAGGCACCAACCCAGAAGGTCTCTGAACCCCATACTTTTGGGATTTTATGGAGTCTTCATCACAGAGGTGTGATTGATCATTAACTCCATTTTCAGCCCTTCTCCCCTCTCAAGAGAATCAAGCTTCTAATTGTGGCGTGTTCTTTATGGTGACCAGCCTTCATCCAGGAGCCTACCCAGAGTCACCTCATGAGAACAAAAAATGCTGCTAGCACCCAGGAAATTGCAAGGGTTTCAGGAGCTCTGTGCCAGGAATGGGGGGCAGAGACCTATATATATAGAGAGAGAGAGCCATCATCTGACACAGGCAATCCACGGCATTCCCTGGCTTGTGGATGCACCACTCCAATGTCTGCCTCCATGGTCACATGATGATCTTCTCCCTGTGTGTCTCAGTGTCCAAATTCTCCTCTTCATATAAGGACACCATTAGTATTAGGGCCATCCTAATCCAGGATGACTTCATCTTATCCTGATCACATCTGCAAAGACCCCATTTCCAAATGAGATCACATTTGTAGGTACCAGGGTTAAGAATTCAACATACCTTTTGGGGGCACATAATTCAATCCATAACAAGTACCATGTCTGCTTCTTTGGGGTTGTAGGGTCTTGGGCAAGAACTTTCTGGACCTTAGTTTCCTCATCATTAAAGTTAGGGAGTACTATGGACTTTTTCAAAGGGTCCCTCCAGCTGTAACATTCCATGACTCTTAAGCCCAACTGTGGAGGTGCTGTCCTACCTTATGGACTCTCCTCCTTCCCCCTAAAGAGGTTCTGGGGACCCTAAGCCGCTTGTGGTCCAGTGGGCCTCTGGCCCCGGCCAGCTACTTGCAGACAAGGAGCCTGGAGAGGGAGGAAACTGCCCGGTTAGAGGAGGCCTGGCATATTTTTCAGCTGTACCACTGTAGTTTTGGCCTCTGACCCCCTTTACTTGCTGACTTTGAACCAGTTCCTTATTTCCTCTGAGCATGACGTGTTTATCTGTAGCCCAGGGGTAATCGTGCTCTCCTTCCCATTTGGTGGATGTTACTGCAGCCTCCAGCTGAGGTGCCTGCTGCAGTCTGGCCCGCTTCATTCAGCCCTTCTGCCACAGTGTGGTCAGGGTGATCTTCTAAACATGAGAACCCAAGCTTTTCGTCGTCCTTCTAGTTAAAAGTCTTCAGGGACTCCCCTCTGGCCACAGTATAAAGATCGAACTTTGCAGCATGGAACCTGAAGCCCACTGGACCCGCGTCACTTCCCCTGTCCTTTGCCCACAGGCCTCTGAGCCAAAGCCAGATAGAACCACTTGGAGTTTCTCACAAGTGGAAGTGGCTCAAGCTCTCCCTTCCCTGCCTTCCTGACCTGGCCAACTCCACTCAGCCTTCCAGACTCAGCCCTAACATCAGCCCTTCCAGGAGCCTTCCTCAGCCCATTCAGCCTCCTTGGAGCTTCCTCCATCAGCAGAGCTGCTTCTTGGGGTTTGCATCGTGACCTGTTTTACTTCTCTGTTGTTCTGTAATAATCAACCCAAAGCTTAACATCTTAAGACAATAAACACTTATTATCTCACGTGGTTTCTGAGGGGCACGTATTCAGGAACATCTTAGCTGCAAGATTCAAGTCTCTCATGAGGTTCCAGCCAAAATGTTGCCCAGTGTGGCAGTCTCCTGGAGGCTTGGCTGACCGGAGGATCCAACTGCAAACTCACTCACACGGCTGCTGGCTGGTGGCCTGGGTTCCTCTCCTCTTTGTAGGGGCTGGTCATGATGTGGCAGCTAGCTTTCCCTGGAATACATGGTCAGAGAGAGAGAGAGTCCCCAAAACTGAAGCTACAGGGTCTTTTATAACCTAATGTCAACTGACAAATCATCCCTCTGCCATATTCTCTTGGTCACACAGAGCAACCCTTGTACACTGTGGGAAGAAACTATACAAGGGTGTAGTATCAGGAGGTGGGGATCCTGGGGGACCCCACCAATCGTCTGTCCTAGAACTTACCACAATGGCTGGCATCACTGTCTGTCTCTTCCACTGTCTTAGGTCAGAATCTTGTTCATCTTTGTCTCCCTGCTGCTAGCACAGTGCTTGCTGAAGTAGTCGTTAGCCACTGATTGTTGAATGAATTGATAATGATTTCCCTAGTCATCTCATCAGGATTTTTGTCTATTTGAATTTCAATTTATTTTCCATTACAAAAATAATACATGCTTATTATTAAAAAAAACTAGAAAAGTACTCAAGGCTGTAAATTGAAAAATAAGTTTTCATTCTTGTTGCCCTGTATCCAGTCTTAGTCCTTAGAGATGATAACCATCAACTTTCTTGAGGTATCCCTTCAGAAATTTTCTAAAATAACTACTAGAATTATTTTTAGGTATCATATGAAAAAATGTAAGTAAAAGTGCTTTGCCTATGTCGAAGACCATGGGCGCTGTGATTCTTGGTAGGCTCAGGCTGCTGCGTTTGACCTTGAGGGTTCCACCAGTGACCTTTCCTGCCGTCTGTTAGGATTGGAATCCCTCCTCTACGGCCACAGTGGGCACAGTGTTGTTACACAGTTAGAATATTTTGCATTATTTTATCATAAGCAATGATTCAAAGTGTCTCAATACATAAAACCTCTTCCATATCCTAGACAATTTACTCAGCACACATCCTCGGAAGTGGAATTATTGGGTCAAAGAACTTGAACATTTTTTATGAGGGTTGCCAGCTGCTTCAGGATTTCTACTTACACAGTCAGTCCTTTCTCATCAGCCTTTCTCTGCAGACCTTTCTCCTTTGCTGTCAGGATCCGCAGTTGCTCATAAACACATTCCACTCTAGTGAGTCTGAACAGAAGGGGATTTCATGGAGGAATATTAATTATTAAGTAACTCAGGAATATTTGGGAGGGCCAGTGAACCTGGCTGGGATGCTATATAGCTAGGGACGATGTAGCCAGACAAAAATACCCAACAGCACCACCAGACATTTCTAGTGGAAACATCACTGCTGACATTATTTGCCGTTTGTCCCTGATAGCTCTGGGGACTGGTGTCAGAAGAACCTGTTCTTCCAACACTGTTCTTGCCCAAAATTCCGGTTTCCCCCTGTTGCTGCCAGATATGTATCAGTTCCCCGTGCCAGAGAGTGGCAGCGACCTGGTCACCCACCTGTTGCCTTCGTGCCAGGGATTCTGGGAGATGTAGCATTTTGTCCAGGAAAGTACAGAATCTCCATATTGGTTTGTCCTGTTCAACATCTGTTGGTGACAGTTTTCTCTGTGATATCTCTAAGCCCCATTTCTCCTCTCCCTGTTGTTTTAGTTTGCTAGAGCTGCCGGAACAAAAATACCACAGACAAGACGGCTTCAACAGAGATTTGTTTTCTCACAGTTTTGGAGTCTAGGGTACGAGTCCAGCTGTCAGCAGGTTTGGCTTCTTCTGAGGCCTCTGTCCTCCGCTCGCAGATGGGCGACTTCGTGCTGGGTGCTCGCACGGTCTTTCCTCTGTGCATAGGCCTCCCCGCTGTCTCTCTGTGTGTTTAAGGGTCCTTTTCTTATAAGGACCCCAGGCAGATTGGGTTAGGGCCCCCTTAATGGCCTCATTTCAACCTAATCACCTCTTTAAAGCCCTATCTCCACATACAGTCAATACTGGGAGTTAGGGCTTTAATATATGAATGTGTGTGCGTTAGGGCGGACGTAATTTAGCCTGTAACACCTATGTTTTAAGGTTTAAGATTATTTTGCCCTCGTGCCTTCTCCACCTCACACCTGCCCCCATTCCATCCACTAGGATTGCCTTCTCCCCATACACAAGCTTTTGAGCCAGCAATTTACTGCTAATGCTGCTCCAGGAGCCCCTCAGTAGGGGTCATCTAGAAAGAGGACCCGAGTCTGGGCCACGTGGAGAGCAGTAGAGAACCCCCGCCACTGAGTAGCCAGAGCCAAATCTTTTTTTGTTTCTTTAAACATGTCTACCCACATCAAGGACCTCTGTTAACCGTCATGTTACATGTTGATCCTAAGTACGGGACAGTGGGAAGAGCAAAACGTAAAATTCACAGCCCAGTGCTCACTCTGTCAACTCCTTCTACACCTTTTGGTTCCCTAACAGCACTCAGTACACACTGAGCTATTCCAATACCACAGGTGTGAGAACTCAGGGAGACTCTGAAATAAGTAAATGCTAGGAAATGTAAGGAAAGGCATGAATGGGGGAAATGGTCTCTGATTCAGATAAAGTGCATCTCTCTTAGTTAGAATCCAGTCCTTATTGGGCTCTGCTCTGGGAAATATGCCAGGAAAGTGGCTTTAATGAGTGTGTACTAAACCCATTCCTTTCTAATTCCTCAGTAGACATTCCCTCATCTGTTGCTCTGTTTTAGAAAAAGGCTCTTTAGGGGCACCTGGGTGTCTCAGTCGGCTAAGCATCTGCCTTCGGCTCAGGTCATGATCCCAGGGTCCTGGGATCGAGCCCCACATCGGGCTCCCTGCTCCGCGGGAAGCCTGCTTCTCCCTCTCCT